GAATATTTTAATGTTGTAAACAAGGAGTCTTTTTACTTTCAAATAAGAGGCATTTTTGGATTGTAAATAATTAACACATTTGTTTTAACTATTTCTATGATGCTGCCTTATCGCGTTTTATGTATTTTAGTGGTAGTTTTGTTTCGCTTGATGCTTTGGTTAAAAATAGATTTATCAAAAAATAATAAATTATATAAAAAAAAAGCTTAAATTCTACTTTTTAAAAATATATAACAGTAATAGTCGGAAATGAGCAAAAAACACAAAAAATTGAAGTTTAAAAATATAAATTTTTGTTTTTAAGAAATGCAAATCGTTTGGATCTCTCCTTAACTATGCTAAGTTAGCATTAAAAAAAAAAAAAATTACTAAAAATTAAATAAAAACTAAAACTTAAAATTAAAATAAATTATGCAAAAAAAAAAAAAAGCTAGTCAACTTAGTTTATAGAATTACAAAACAAATGTATTTTAATTGAATATTTAAAGTCAAATATTTAAAAGATTTTAATCCAATGCAATACAAATAAAACAATATAGACTATTATTACCAAATACAAATACATATTTGACCTCAACCCTGCTTATCTCTTTGCTTCTATTTAATCCATGATATCTTTGTGTTACTACAGCCAAAAAATCAGCAGTAACGTGATAGGATTGAACCTATATTAATTGCTAGACTGTTGACATATTTGATTTGAAATAAGTTATTATAAGTTAAATCAATGGCTAATGAATTTTTTTTTTTTTGGAATATTTAAATTATCTTTTAATATGCTTATGTGAAATTTATTTTTAATCAACTCGTAAAAAAAAAGCATTAACTTTTTTTTAAAAGATTTTGAATTAAATATGATTTTAAAAATTATGTTTTAGTTTTGAAGGAATATAAAATAGTTAGTAAAACGTAGATCATAAAAATTTAATCTCAAAGGAATGTAAAATAGTTTTGCAATATATATTAAAGAAATTTTTTTCTTGCTAACTAATTCATTACCTAAAACATAAATCTTGGGCGATAGTTAGAAAGGTTAGAGCAATTTCTTAAGTTTTTTTAAAATTGGAACCACAGATATCTTAAACAGCTAAAAAAGAACCACAGATATCTTAAACAGCTAAAAAAGAGCAAAGACAAATTGGAACCACAGACATCTTAAACAGTTAAAGAAAAACAAGGAAAAAAAAACCAAAAATAAAAATAACATATGGTGTATCCAAAAATAATTTATGGTGAATTCAAAGGTTTTATTCAAAGAGGTTTTGCATTATGCAGCAAAGAACTTATAAATCAAGAATAAGAGTTTCTTAAGGAAATGTTTATAGAAAATGGCTTGACCACCCAACAACTCTTATTCTGGAGTCTACTAATCTTTCGTGCCAAACTCAAACATATTTAGGTCAGCATTGCCAAACGACGACTCTAATTCTGAATGCTGCCAGTGTTCTTTAAATGACGTTGGTTTAAATGAAGATAATGGTGGTTATATCACATTTTTGAAACTATATTTTTTTGCATACATTGCATTAGAGTTTTATTATTTATGGTCAGGTCAGGTTTATCCTGCTACTGGTAACATGTAACCCAGTACAATCTGCTTCATGTCCTGCTGCCTTGTAGGATATGCCTTTTTAGGCAAAGGCTAGGAGATGCAAACTCCCACATAAAACACCCCCTGCCTTGGGGCTTTTGGTTGAGTAAAGGCTAGAGATTGTGTCTCGATAAAAATACTCATCTTGGGCAGATGTTAAATGCATCCGGCTGCTGTCTTGTAGAAGGCCTCCTAGGCAAAGACTTAAGGGCCTTCTCCATCTATTAGGCTGGCGCAGATGCATTTTTAATACATTGTTTCCAGTTTAGGATGTTGAACGCTGGATCTTTTTGACTCGATGCATGGGTTTTGCCTGTGTCTCTGTTTTTATGACTAGGCAACTCATTCTATTATCTCCAAATGATAGTCACATGCTTGGCCTGGGCACTTACCTTCGTAAGAATTCACCCATTTGTCGGGAAACTAGGTTTGAATCCACAGACTACTCTTTTATGTGCTTTCGTTTAGCACCACTTCACTCTATCACCTTTCTCTTTGTTCATTATCGCTCTCCCTCATCTCAAGACTGCACTCTTCTTGATGTTATTTCTGATTATATTGACCAAGCCCTCATTCTTTATCCATCAGCCAATATTGTTGTTGTCAGTGACTTTAATGTTTATCACACATTAGGTGCATCTGATCATGGTTTGGTCTCTCTAAAACTATTATCTCATTCTTCTTTACCATCAGAATCCCCCTATCATCGTACATCTTACAACTACCTTAAAGCTGACTAAGACTCTTTCCGTGATTTTCTTTGTGATGGCCCCTGGGTAGAAATCTTTTGTCTCCCTGTTGACAAATGTGCTTCTTACATAACTTCGTGGATTCAGACTGGCATGGAATCCTTTATTCCCTCTCAACAATTCCAGGTCAAGCCTCACTCTTCTCCATGGTTTTCCTCACATTGTGCTGCTGCAATTGCCAATCGAAACCATTACTTCCATATCTATCAGCAAAACATTTCTCCAGAAAACAGACGTCTGTTTATTACTGCTAGGAACCATTGTAAAAATGGTTTTGTCTAATGCCAAAGCCCGCTATTCTCAGATCATGAAATCTCATATTTCATCACAAAAATTAGGCTCTCGTGACTTCTGGAGAATCTTCAATAGTATCAATAATAAGGGCAAGTCTGTAATTCCACCTCTTTTATATGGTTCAGACTATGTCACCTCACCTAAAGACAAAGCTGAATTGTTTGCTAAGAACTTTTCATCAATATCATCTCTTGATGCCACTAGTTGCATTCTACCTGATATAGCCGTCAAACAGGTTGATCCATTGCTTGACATTTGTATCACTCCAGCTTCTGTATCTAAAGTGATTTCCTGGTTAGACTCTTCTACAGCTTGTGGCACGGACAACATACCTGTTATAGTCTTGCAGAAGTGTTCTCCTGAGCTGTTGTCTATCCTTTCAAAACTATTTAACAAGTGCTTATCAGAGTCTTGTTTTTCAGCCTGCTGGAAAGCAGCATCTGTTATCGCTATTTTAAAAAATTCTCGAGAGCGATCCGATTCGTCTAACTACCGTCCCATTAGTCTTCTTCCTATCATAATCAAGGTTTTTGAATCTTTAATTAACAAACACTTAATCTAAAATTTCATAACCTACTTTTTGATCATCAATATGGATTTCGATCTTCTTGTTCTATGGCTGATTTGCTATCAGTAATAACCGATAGGTTTTATCGCGCATTAGATAAAGGTGGAGAGATTAAAGCCATTGCTCTTGACATTTCTAAAGCGTTTGATAAAGTTTGGCATGCTGGTCTTCTCCATAAGTTTTCTTCTTACAGTGTATCTGGAAACATCTTTAAGATTATTGAATCCTTTCTTTCCAATCATAGTATAAAAGTTGTCCTTCTTCTTATTCTGTAACCTCAGGGGTTCCCCAAGGTTCAATCCTTGGCCCTATACTCTTTTTAATTTACATTAACGATCTTCCAGATATTCTCACATCTAAGGTGGCATTGTTCACTGATGATACTACCATTTATTCTTGTCACAATAAGAAGCCAACTCCCTCTGATTGCTTGCAGGGGGCATCTGAGCTTGAAAAGGATCTCACTTCTGCTACAGCATGGGGCTCACAGTGGCTGGTGAACTTTAATTCGGATAAAACTCAATTTTTTTCGGCCAATCGTTATCGCAATAGTTTAGACCTTCCTATATTTATGAACGGTAATGTACTTGATGAGCCTCCTACCCTTCATCTTCTAGGATTAACTCTTACTTCTGATCTTTCTTGGAAACCTTATATCAAATCTGTTGCAAAATTAGCATCTGCTAAAGTTGCTTCTCTTTATTGAGCTCGTCACTTTGTTACTCTGGATTCTATTCTCTATCTCTATAAATTTCAAATCTGGCCTTGTATGAAATACTGTTGTCATATCTGGGGCGGATCTTCTAATGATGCCCTTTCTCTTTTGGACTAGGTGCAAAAACGTGTTGTAAACATAGTAGGACCTACTCTTGCAGCCAACCTTCAACCTCTGTCACATCGTTGTAATGTTGCTTCTCTTTCTCTTTTCTACAAATACTATAATGGGCACTGCTCTAAAGAGCTAGCGTCTCTTGTGCCATCTACTAAAACTCATTCTCATGTTACTCGCCATTCAATTAAGTCTCATCCTTTTTCTGTTACTGTTCCTAAGTGCTCCAAAAACTCTTATTTGTCTAGTTTTTTTCCTCGAACATCAGTTCTTTGGAATTCGCTTCCCTTATCTTGCTTTCCTGATTCATAAAATTTGCAATCTTTTAAGTCGTCTGTCAATCGTTATCTTGCTCTACAATCTTCATTTTTTCTCTTCCAGTAACTTCCAACACTAATTAGTGGTTGCTTGCAGCCTTGTTGGAAGCAAAGATAATTAAAAATTATTAATTATCTTTGCTTCCAACAAGGTATTTAGTAATTATTAAATGATCATTATATCAAAAAAATCAAAGTTTTGAGTTTAAATTTTAGACTCAGTATTCTAATCATAAATTTTTATAAATTGGTCAAGTTCCATCACTGTTTCTAGCTGCTCTGTAGTAAAGAATGGAGCAGCTATAAGCTGCAAATTTATTCTCTCAACACAATTAAAAAGTTTAGAAAATTTTTTTTTCTGATCTAGGGTTAATATTTTGTTAAAACATTATAAAACAAACGTTAATTTACAGATTATAAACTAATTACAATTGTTGAATGCCTTAATCAGGAAAAATCTAAATAATTAATATAAATAATAAACTTTTCAATTTAAGTCATTTAATTACTAATAACAATAATTTAAAATTATAATTTAAATTCATAAAATATATATTAAGAGTATTAAAAGAAATTTGAAAGTTTTAGAAATCAATTAGTAAAGTTTAATATTAATAAAGCTAATTAATAAATACTTATTAACTTTACTTACAAGTACTCTCCAGTACAAAACTGACGAAAGTTTTCAGCTGTTTTAGGAACAACATCAGCAAATAACTCAATTTTCATTCGCCCAACATCCTGCAATTAAAATAATAATATTTAAATCACTCTTGCTTTTGTTGCTAAATTATTTTTCACCTAACTCTTCAACAGCTTATAGTCTTAACAACATTACTGTCACAGAAATGTTATCCACAGAAATGTTATCCAGAATTTTTTATAATACTTCCAAAAAGGTTGGCTAAATAAATATGGTTGACTAAATCTTTTTTTCTTGCCTGCTGGAAAATGACTTCTGTGGCTTTAATTTTTGAAAACACAGGAGATCACTTTGACCTTTTAACTATCACCTAACTTCTAATGTGTATTAGATTGATGCCAGTTGGCAAGAGATATTTCTCTTGACATATGAAAGGCTTTCAAATAAGTCTGGAATGCTAGTCTAGGTATAGGAAGTTCATTGGGTATATCTAAAAAATTTTTTAAATTATAATTTCTTATTCTTAAAAGAACTATTTTTTATTTTAAAAAAATTGCTTCTTTTTATCCACAGTAATACAGTTGTTCTTGATGGCAACACTCTTTTTCATAACTGCTATTACATATTATCAATGAAACTTTCATTGATAATATTAGGTACGTGAGCATCGCGTTTTACGGAACCGAATTTTGTGCTAAAATTCTGTTCCACGTTTTTCGTAGTCTCTTAAAAGTTAGAGTGCTTGAGGAGGGCCTTGTGGAATAACTTTTTAGTATTCGTTATCAACATAGATTATTTTTAGAAAGAAGAATAGTTGAAGCATTAGTTCGATTGGTTTTTAATTATACTCACTTAATTTATTAACAAGTTTATTGATGTCAAAGTTTTGGTTGTACTTCTGTGGTGAATTTAATGTCCAGGATATAGTCTTTTTTTTTTTCTATCCATTTTTTATTAAATTTATTCATTTATCTATGCACCTGCCAATTTTCGTTGAAAAATATTTTGTAGCAGTCACCTTATTTCTTGCTGCACTTTTGTTACCTAATTTACATTTTACCTGATGTTGGCGCAGGAGACAGAGGGGTCCATTGATTGTTTTTATTTATATTTATTTTACATATATAGTATTCATATTAGCAATATTTGACTTATGTCATAAATTGGTATTGTAAACCTAGATATTTTAGAATAAAAATATAGTTAAAAAATTTGTTCATTTAAATAAAATTACTTTAATAAAACGATTTTTAGTAAATATTAAAATAAGACTTGGATTTTATATTTGATTTAGAAATAAAATGGAGGAAGAAAATAAAGGTTTCATCTAGTATTTCATATCATATTCATAATAAGAATTTGATGTGAATTAAATTATTGATGATTCATATCTAATTTGAAGATTGAACGTTGTTTTTATTTAATAAGAAATATATTTATGGATAAGTTGTTTCAATATAAATTTATTAAACTGTTTTTAAATTATCTGGCCACAATCTAAATTTTTATGTATAACTTAAATATTTCTTTCACTGTTTTAGATACCCAAAGTTGTAGTGTAGCCGACAACAATGTTGTCGGCTGCACTGCAACTTTGGGCATCTAAAACAGTGAAAGAAATATTTTTTTTTAACTAACTGATGTTGTCAACATCAGTTAGTTTTTTTTTTTTTTTTAATTTTACTTCACCTCCTCAAGGCCGAGAAGGCCACTACAAACGAGGAGGCTACTTATTTTGTGGCTATAACCCTCTCTCAACTCTATAACTCCGAAACACGAACCTTGACGAACAAGGCCGCTGCGCGGAGAAACGAGTTGAGCGCGGTACTACCAGGGACGTGGTGGGGATCGAACTCGAAACCACTCGTTTATGAAGCGAGCGCTCTACCACTACACCACTACCGCATTATACTTTCTGTATTCAATAGCTTTGTAGTTATTAAATAGATGATATTATAATATATGTTCTATATATATATATATATATATATATATATATATATATATATATATATATATATATATATATATATATATATATATATATATATATATATATATATATATATATATATATATATATATATATATATATATACATATATAAATGATATTAGTTTTCTAATACAGTTCTTTATTATGCCTGTGTAGATTGTTGTCTAACAATATTATTTCTTGTTAGTTGTATTTTTGTATACTTAATACTTACATTTTTTTAAGTCACTCTTTTTTTTCTGTAGACAATTTAGAACAAACAATCAGAAGTTAAGTTTAAATTGTTTTAGTTACTATATCATTTAAAGTATTTGTATGCTGTGTTAGTATTCCTTGTTGAATAAATGTTTTGATTTAAAAAATTTTTTTAAAAGATTTAAGTTTAAGAAAAAAGATTGTTAAATGGTCAATTAATGTAGCACATAAAAACAGATTTACAAACCAACTGCATCGATGCAAAGTGAGAGATGAGATTTGTCAAAGACAAAAAATCAAGCGCCATAAAATGGATGAAAAAGAAAAAAGAAAGTTAGAGCGTGAGCTATCCAAATTGAGTTTTAACGAAATTATTAATTCATGCAAGCGCTTGTCCAATGACCAACTATTTGATTTAGAAGATGTCATTTCAGATAGAATTGTTTGGAAGAAACTAGAACATGAATGGTACGATCCAAAAACATGCAAAAGTGTTTTATATAGCGAAAGAGTAGAAAAAGTTAATAAAAGAAAAAATAACTTTATTTACACCATTTTTTACTGGAAAGATGATGAAACTGATATTGGAGCTGTTGACTATTGCATGAAAAAGATCCAGCTTGCTGCTGATGTTGTTTCCAGTGAGTTACAATTTAATTAATTTAATAACACTGCAAGTGTTGTGACTTGTCAAAAATATGTTGCAAGTGTTGTGACTTTCATAAATAATGTTTATTTTGAAACAGGAAATTTGTTTATTAACCGAAGAAAATGGTTAGCTTGTTAACCATACTGTATGGTTCTGTTAATGTGAGAATCACATGAAAGACAATAATATAGGTATTTGCTATACTTGGTTATAAAGATGACATGTTTTTTAAAGCCAATTGACTTAATTATAGCCCCACAATAGTAGTTGTATAATTTTTTTAGTAATATATAACCAATTAAATAATAATATTAGGTTAGAGGGGGAAGGGGCATTACAATGCCTCTTTCCCCTTTAAAATATCATCAACATATCTACAAAGAGTTTTACATTCATCTTCCATATTTGATGGTTGTCTGATATGAATTTTATTTTTTAATTTATTTCCAATTTCATAATTTCATTTTTAAATTTATTATTCAAATTTTGAAAACAGTAATTGTATATGTTTTTTTTAGGAAGGGTGGGGGGGGGGGCATACGCCCTACCGTAATAGAAACACCAGTTGTAGACGTAAGATCATGTATAACATAATTTTATATTGTATACTAATTTTACACATTTCAGTAAAGATATAAATATAAAATTAAGTCGTTTTTGATACTAGAGTGTATCAAACCACTACCACCACACCCACCTCTATTGCTAACATACACATCTTATGTATTTTAATGGTTAAGCATAAATTTAAAACAATTTGTTTTAATATTTATATTGCTTATGTCTTTAAAAAAAACTTTTTTTCTGAAAAAAGTGTTCAGTTTCGTACGGGCATGGTGGTGGTTTGATGCCCCCTCTGTCCGTCCGAAACGCCCGGTGGTTAGAGTTTAACATAAAGTTGTAGCCCACTCTTACACCTATCTTTTGACACTAAGATTTTTGTTTTTCGATAAGAATTGACAAAGTTATGACAATTTTAAGTAAAGAAAAATATTATTTTGACCACAGTTTCTTCAACAAATCCTAATATCGAAAAATCGATACTTAAACCGTCATAACTTTCGAACCAATTGTTCGATTTTGATAATTTTTTCACCTTTAAAATACTGTAATAATCCTCTTTCTAATGATATATAACATTATAGTATTCAAACAATTTGAAATTTTTACTCACGTACCTAATAATATGTAAAAGTTATTTCACAACTATTACATATTATCAATGAAAGTTGCTTCTAAAACAGCTTAAGGTTTTCAACAGCTTGTTAACTTTTACCCAAAAAATTCAATTGTTTGCTGCTAATAATTATCGCAGTATTGTTAATATATCTATATTGATGAATGACAGCACTCTTTTTGAGAACTCTGCTTTACATCTTTATAGGTTATCCTTCACTGCTGAATTCTCATAAAAACCATCTATTGCAATCTATTACAAAGTTAACATCCATTTGCTTACAACTAATTTGATTCTTTACCTCTATAAATCTCTCATCTGCCAAAGTAACAAACGATTAAACGACAAAATAAAAATAACATCATTAACAATAATAATTCTGTTTAATGTGAGGAAGTAATAAAGGTTTATCACTATTTTACGGAACGTTATTAGGAAATCTTATCCAAATAAGCATTATATTGATTCTATATAAACAATATTCCATATAATAAGCATTAATATATACCTGACCACCAATACTAATATCCAAAAATACAATTGGATTGTCGCTGTTCCCAACACTAGAAGCCATTTTTTATTCCTGCGGAACTTAAGTATTCATAGCAGATATATTTTTATGCCATTAAGTTTATAAATTTATGCCTTTAATTTACTACATTTATATTTTAAATCAATAACTGCAAATATCATTAACTTTATCAAATAATTGTGCTTTTTTTTAAAAAATATATTTTGTAAATGCAATATATTATTACATATGTAAAATTTAACAATATCTACATTGGTTTTTGACCGCCAAATAACGAAACAGCTGATGATCAGATGTTCAGAATATTTTTCAAGGTAAGTTATGTTTCGTAATTTCCAGTAAGTGGACTGTAATTTCTGATTCCGATTTAATAAATAAAGTTATTAAAAAATACCTATAAAAAATTTGTTTCTTAATAAATAACTGATTACATATTTTATTAAACTGCATTTTTATGCGTTATTAAAAATTCATAAAGTTTTAGTAACCAGTTATAAATGTTTACATGTGATTATAAAGTTAATAAAAGTAAAAACGGCTTTAACGGGTTTGAAGCATTTGTTAATTATTTTTGTAATCTATTGTAGTTTCGATATGGAAAAAAATGATGAAAAAAGATCAAAACGAGCTGCTGCTAATGTAAATGAAAGAAAGCGTATGCAGTGCATAAACAATGGCTTTGAATCCCTAAGGGAACTTCTTAATCTTCCTTATAAAGCTCGACTTAGCAAGGTCACAGATTTTTAATCATGTATTAAAAGAAAAATCAGAATTTTCAAACTTTTCCACATTAAAATGTAGGTGAAAAGAAAATTTGTATAAATTCTATTTTTTTCAGAGTGCAATATTACAGTATTCTGCCGACTTATTACAAACCACTATTTCGGAAAATTTGCAGCTAAAAGAGCAAAATAACCTTCTTCGTAATTTAGTCTGCACTTATATATCAAATGCTGATGATTTGTCTTTCATAGATACAACTCCTTTTATAAAAAGAAGACATCTAGATGTTCAATCAAAAACTAATGTCAGTGTATCTTCATCTGACAACCCAACTTTATATTCACAAAAATCACAACATAAGAAAGATCTGTCTATTGGATGTGATAAAAAGGTTTCTCCACGCAGAAGTCCTCGTTTTTCTGAAACAACTCGCTCTTCAGTCATTACAAAGAATGTTACATACTCTCCTTTCACTGATCCTTCACTTTGCGAAAGTCCGATACATGAATCAACAGGTGTATATGCTAATGAGCTGTTAATGACACCACCAGCATCAGGTGGATCAACAAAATTTCAACAGGAGTTTTTTGTAACATCTTTGGAAAATGACAAAAATAAAATTAGCCCATCATTAACAAAATCTGAATTTATTGGAAACACTCATACCTGTAATGCCAAAAGAAGTTTAGATGCTATTATTCAAGCAATTGACCAACTAGAAAAAAGTTGACTTTCAGTACAATTTTGCTTCTAATCTGGGGTTTAACAGAAATCACATCATATTGTTCTTTGCATAAAATAGACCACTCAAATTTATTTTTATTTTTCTTGTATTTTTTATTTCTGAATTTTTGTATACAATTTTTTTACTTAACATTTTGAGTAAGTTTTATTTTACCATATTTAATGGTAAATTAATTTCATTTTTCGTATGTGATATGTTTAATGTGTATAATTAAAATGCTTGTAAATTCTCCAAATAGCAATTATAGGGTGGAGTTTTATATTTAAAATTATATGATTAATTTTAATTTCCAAATAAATTATTTTATTAGGATGTCAGATAATATCAAATAAGTTTTTGTTTTGAATTTCAAATCATAAGTTTTATTTTAATATCTAATCTGATGAAATTACAAATTGTTGTGAATTTATCATCAAATTGAATTTCAATTATCAGTAGAAGATTGCATGTAGCAAGTTAAAAAATTGAAATATTTCCATAAAAAAAGGTGGCAGTATAGTGGGAAAAAAAAATTGAACATTTAATAACCTTTTTTTTCTTTTTTTTTTTTTTTTTTTTTTTTTTTTTTTAACGATTTTTTAACTATAGATGCAGCTTCAGCCAGTTGAGACCAGTGAAATTTTTGTGAAATTTATTTCAGAAAATAAGTCATTAAAAATCAAGGACTTTTAAAATATTTTCTGTTTTTTTACAATATTGCTATCATTTTTGAAAATTTTTATTTTCTTTCATATTTTTTTACATTTGTTTCTTCGTAATAATGTGGGTGTGTATATATATATATATATATATATATATATATATATATATATATATATATATATATATATATTATTTTATTTTTTTCTGCGTTTTTCTCTGAATTTAATTTTTAGGGTACACCAAGATTTTGGCAAGGGTTATTCTTAATTTAGTCAGACAAAATTCATGAACTTTTCCTCATTTTTTCAATTTTTGTGGTAGATTGTATTAAGCAGGTCAGATTTTTGAAATTTAATTTCTTTGAATAAATTTATCAAAAAATAATATTTCCCTAAATTTTACGCCCTGATTTTAAAATTTCAAACTATTGTTTCGCTCAATACCATTATCACACAAATTCACATAGATGCATTTTTTAAGTGAAATCTGATAAAGTTAACTAATTAAGCTCTTGCCAAAAGATTATTCGCTCACCTGTTAAATATGCTTCTAATTATCACCCGGTTTAAAAAGAATATATATATATATATATATATATATATATATATATATATATATATATATATATATATATATATATATATATTATGCAAATTATTGTAGTCTCTTCTTTATTGCATGTTTATGCCAACTTTTAAAGTTTCACTTGATGATAAACATAAATTATGCTATTTTATATTTAAAAAAATCAAAATTTTTTTCCCACTATACTGCCACCTTAAAACTATTAAAACTCAAACAGATGTTGAGTAGTAACATTTAAAATGCCTAAATTGAAATAATATATATAAATGTTGAAAGACATTAAAAAATAGAGTGATAGTAATTTATGAAAAAAAAACCCGGCTATTTATAAAAGTTAAAAAATTTAAAACCGCTTTAATAATAAAAAAAACTTGCTTATCTTAACTTATCTTATCTTAAACTCATCGGCATTTACGACACTATCGTTAAATCTTATTATAATTTTTTTATTATGTTTGTTTGAATATTTTATTAAGATGTAATAATTTTAATAAAGAATAGTTTCCTTTAAACTAGATTATCTGCTGATATGTCTTTCTAATTTTAAAATAAGTGTAAAAAAAACAATTCTTAACAATGTAAAGATTAGATATAACTGTCTTTTTGATGAATAATTGCAGTTTTGATATAAAAAAAATAATCTTGTGAAGTCTTTGTATGCGTATACATAAATTTGTGTGCTAATTGCCCGAACGACTTAACTAAAATAAGTATTGAGTCTGAAATTGCGAAACAAAACGCCATGTGAAAAAAAAAAAGCAATTGCAGTTACTCGGCGTCTTCGGACTAATAGGTCAGCTTTATATAAAGTTGATCAAAATCGCTCAAATTTTTATTCACGTAAATTAGAACAATTACTTGAGTAACAGCAATAGCTTTTTTTTATTCACCCGGCCTCTAATCCCTGTAGTTTTTTACGGAGCGAGAGGCGCGTAAAAAAAATGTGTTTTCGTGAAATTTTGTTGGCTTCAAGTTTTCTATCGTTTAAATATTTTGTGCAGTCTGTTTTTTTTTTCTGATTCTGTATAATATATTTTCTGATACTCAGAACACACAAAGTGTAATTTAATGCTTTGAGTTGCCGTGGTGCAGTTGTTAGATTACTGGCTCAGAACCAAAAGCCCTAGGAGATGTGAACTTCCCAGTTAAATGCTCTTCCGTGAAATAAATCCGTAAAGACTTCTGGGAGTATTTTAATTACAACAGCAACAACAAAATGATTAAGATATGAGTCGTAAGATGCCTAAAAAACAGGCTTATACTGGCAGTCAAAGCCGATTCTAGGAAGAAAATGGTAAATCCTTAAAAAGTACCGACTGCTCTTTAAACGGTAGTTGCACTATTAATTGTCCAACTGCTGTTAAAAGTCATATAGTTATAAACTATTTTGAACAACTAAAAAAAAATTATCTTTATAGTTTTCAAGGAATTTTTCCTGATCAATTGAAAATTGCCAAAGTTAAACCGAATTTTTAAGAAGATGATACTCAACGCACTTAATGCAAGTTTTCATATTTTTTGAGTCGCTTGTTCTCTGCATCATATTTACTAGGGTTAGTTAGTGATTTAACATAATTAAGATATATTAAAAAAACCTTATGATTATCATTTACAAAATGTTTGATTTTATGTTTTTCAGTTAAAACTCTAAATACTGCAACTTTAGCAAAATCGCAAGTTAAAGGATCGACAATAGGCTGCTCTGTCATAATAAAAGATAAAGTTAATTGTAAATCTTTTGTGAAAATAAAATTTTTATTCGTTCCTTTGTTTTCCGAATTTGCTTAAGAAATATTAAATTTTGCCACTATTTTACATTTATTTGTAATAATCTCAAGTAATATAAAGACAAGATTTTTAGTTAAATAGCTTAATGACATTATAAAATAGAGGTGAAGCATATCTTTTAATTTGAACTTAGACTTTTAAATGAAGCATAAGACATAAAACATTAAAAGTCTAACGAGCCATATGTCAAATTTTGTGTTCATCACATTCAAATTAATAAAAGCTTTCATATTTAATCGAAAAAATAGATTTAAAATTTTTTTTTTACCTTTGATATGTTTTTAGACATACGACTGGTTAGAAATTAGATATATGACTAAAAACTTATTTGAAAATGTTATTTTCTTTAGTTAATGCTTTATCTTCGTAAAACATCAACATCATTTTATACCAAAAAATGATACCTCAACTGTAAAGCAAAAATTTATACCTGAACTCGAATAATTTAAAAATTTTTTAACGTTATTCAATTTTAGACAGGGCTAATATTAAAAAAATTTCGTTTTTTTATTTTTTAGTTGTGCTAAAAAAGTTCAGTTAAACATAGCCTTTTTACTAAAACGCAAAATTCGCTTATTTTCCAGAACATACACTAACTGCGTTGAGTATAACTAATATTAACAAATATCAATATATTTCTGTTTTATCTATATTTTCAAAAAATTAAAAAAAAATATTGAATTATAGAGTGTATAACTATTTACATTATAATAACTTATTATATAACAACCAATTTGGCTTCAAAAAACACAGTTCTACTGAACCTGCAATCGTTCAATGCGTACGTGAGATATCAAATTCATTTGAAAATTTCCAATACACACTTGATATTTGTATTGACTTTTTAAAGGTATCTGATACCACCTTATATATAAGTATATATGTAATAAATTATTAAGTTGTGCTTATGTTTGTTTTTATTTTACTAAAGCTAAAACGGAGTTTGTTTTTATTTTACTAAAGTTAAAGCACTAACGAAGACAACGTTACAAATTGAAGCAGAAATTTATAACGAATCATGTTGACGATTGCATATGAATTGCAGAAAAGTACCATTGTTGAATGGTTATGAATCAAATCTTTGTATTATAATTGCGTAAATGTATTTTAAAATTTAAGCCTGTTTTTTAAATTTATTCATAATAATTAAAATTGTCGATAATCATGTGTTTAATACATTTTATTGTTCTTAAACTAATGAAAAATACGCCAATTTTAAACCACAAAATTACAGTCGATAAGTAAAATATATGGGGACTTCAAATATGATGAAAATCCATAACAATCCCATGCGCGACCCAGTTAGTTAACAAAAACAAAATCACGATGGTACAGTAACATACAATAACTAATCGTTGTTCTGCCAGTTCTTGTATTTGCACTAGCCGCTGTTTTGCCATCGCTGGCTAGCAACGGCTGGTCCATGAAAAATCCTTAGAGCAAAACGGAGTTTCGCCACGGTGGTTTAGTAATAGACATTTATTATGCGCATGCGCTATATTTTATTCAAATGTTGGTAAACAATAATGTTCGCAAGTAAACAGAAAACTACTAATAGAGTTGTATAAACTTTAAATTAGATTTATTTGTAGATATTTCTAAATTGCCTATAAGAAATGATATTAAAACAATACTTTAGGTATGGTATGTGTCATCAAAGCTATCATTTAAATAATTTTACAAAGAGAATAGAAGTGGGACTAAATTAATTAGCTATTTTTTAGGCAAAGTTTAACCTGTGCTTACATTATAGTCTATGTTCTAAAGTTTTGAATTTTTTAGTGATAACCTCGATTTAAAGCCAAAATTATTTAAAGCCAAAATCAAAAACCGGTTACTTTTTTTTGTGATAATATAATGCTTTTAAAGATTGGTAAGTTTTCGTTTTTTTTGAAAGGTTAAAAATGCTGACAGAAATATTATGGAGGCTTTATTACTGCCATTTATTATCTTTAAATCATTTTGCAGTATTTTATCGGATTATTTTTAGTATCTACAATTTTTTTTTTTCTTGGTTTTTTTTTTTTGGGGTATTTTTTTACAGTTGGGTTGTTTTTTATGAAATGCTCATTCATTATGCTTCTTAATCTACCTACTCCTTTCATATGGCAGTA